TTTGCCCCTTTCCCCCCAAGACCCCGGGCGCTCCCCCTGCCGTCTCCTCCCTGCACCCAGCCCCATGGGCCAAACCGTGGGGGACGCCGCGATAACTGCGCTCCCAGCTGCGCGGGGCGACGGGAGGGGTGCACGCTCCCAGCACCCTGAACAGCAGCAGCCCAGGGGCAAATCACGACAGCAACGTAACAGCACCGCTGGGCTGCTCAGACAGTAAATCCCACCGATGTGACGCAACCGACCGAGCACTACCGTCGCTAGAGCTGGGACTAAGCCAAAACCACCTCCAAAGCAGAAACGCCCGCAGCGCCCCGGCTCAGAGGGTGCAGAGGCTGCGCGTTTCCTCGCTGGTGGGCTCAGGAATAAGCTCCAAACCCCAAAGAGTTGGAGAAAATGGAGCCAAAGGGGCTGGTTGAAATCCGTGCGCTCTTCCTTACTGAGGGAACGAGGCTGCGTGTGTTCAGGAAATGGGTGTCCTCTAGCGGAATCAGCACTGCTGGGAATAACTCGTAGCATTCTTACAAGTTGCAGCGTATAACCCTTCTCCATCTGCAGATCCGGCTTCCCAGGGAACACGCAGACTGTTGGTACAATCAACGCGACCTCCGACAAGAGACTCTGTCACCTATGAGGCATCTCTGGCTGAAAATCAGCCCTGGGCTCTCAGACGCATCGGCCACCTCTGGTCTGACTCTCCTGAGCAAGCCACCAGTGGGGAGGCAGATGGAGCTGGCCCCAGCGCTCTTCCCTTGGATCAAACGCAGTGACACGTTCTGCCTGCCGGCACAGAGACTGCAACGCCCTCAGCGCACCGAAGCACGCGCGTGCTTGTCACGCTGCAGGATGCCGAACCGGAGCTCACAACTGGTACTGCCCTGGGAACGTTTCACTGACCTGAATTAAAAACTGCGGCCACGAGGGTGGAAACACAGGGGCTGGGCAGCAGCGCTTCCCAGGAGGGAGCTTCCACCGCTCCAGCTCACGCCGGCTCTGGCCATGGCAAAAAGCAGAGCTGACAGCAGCACCAGGTCAGCGCTGCCTTCTGCTTCGCCTCTGCGAACGGGCGCGGTGTAAGGCAGGGCAAGGTTTCGATCCTCAGCTGCTGCGTCCCTCCGGGCTGCCCTGGGGCTCTCGGCACGGCTGCGCAGCAGTTCTGCCGGCAGATCTCTCACCAACTCCAGCTGCTCTCCTACGCTCCCCAGCCAAGCCGCGTCACTCAGCAGGAGCAAATTTTTTTTTGGGGGGGGGAACCCCCCGGCGGGGGGGGGGGCGGGGGAGCCGCAACCGGAGGGACGAGCGGCAGCTTCTGAAGTGGCTGGGAAGGGCGCTCTGCCTGCATTCACCCTCCCGCAAAGGCAACGACGAACGGAGACAGTGCAGCGTAAAATTAGTACCAAGATGTCGCACGCTTATTTTTAACAAAGTGACCTTCATCAAGCTCAGAGCTCTTTTTGCTTAATTTTTTCCAAAATGAAAGCCAAGTCAATCATGAAATGCCGGGAGAAGATGTTAACTCTTTATTAATAAATTGCTTTAGAAAGGCTTAGTGAGACAGGATTAATGGATTTGATGGTCAGAAAGGACCGCTGTAATCTTCTAGTCTGCCCTGCCGCAGAGCACAGGTCTGGACTTCCCGCAGCCCCCCAGCCGAGGCCGTTGCCAAAGGGCTTATCTTTTAATCCGCGCCACGGAGCGTCTCTGAGAAGCCACTACACTCTGGTCCAACGGGCAGCCTCACTGCGGACACCACGCGCTCTGTTTCCAGTTCTGTTATCTCTGAATTCCACTTACAGCCCCTGGCTGTGTCAGCTGAAGTTCTTTAAATGGTATTCTTTAAATATTGTGTCTCAAAGGATTAATGACTCTCTTAACTCATGACTGCTTTATTCTACAGTATACAAGTAATAATGAGCTTGATTCTGCAGTTAGTTACTCCCAAAACCACGTGGAATAAATTCGTTCCTGTAATGGTTTCAACTTTACATCGGCGTAACGCAGACCAAACCCTTCGCCACAAAGGTACAAACCAAGCAAATCCACAGGAGAGCAGGGCAGCTGTCCGTGCTCCTCTGGGCCGCCCGCCGCACTGTGCAGCCACTCTGAGCAGCTCAGTACGGAATGGTAAGAAAGAGAGTCAGCCGTAAAGTGCTAGGTTTTTTTGAGGAACAAAGGAGAAGTTCGATTACCAAGGCATGTCATATGTCTGAGCCCAGCTCTGCGCACTGCTTGTCTGATATGTGGTTAGCTAACGACTCTATGATGTCAAGAAGGAGTAGCTGACTTAGGGAGCGGAGATTTGGCAACTTGGAGACCTTCAAGGAAAACAGAACAGAAAAAACAGAAAGAAATTAAAACCCTCCCCAAATGACAGCTGATGCATCACTGCTTTACCCTGCCACCCCACGTGAAGCGCGCAGGCCGGGCACGTACGGTGTGAAATCGCAGTCGTGGAGCTGGGCTGCAGGGAATGGGTCCCAGGGGCTCCAGCCACGACGGCCTGCGCTTCCAACCCAATTCCAGGGTGCTGCACGGCGGGGATGGGAACGGGGAGCAGCAGAAACGCTGAGCCCAGCACTGCCTCTCTGAGCAAGGACTGTCATTACTGCGTATACTGACAACTCTGCTGCTAACGGATGCCAACTAAGCACTCTCCTAAAAAGCAGATTTGGGCACCAGCACAGCCCTGACTGTTGGAGTCTGTGTATTTCTGCTGAGAACGTGACGCAGGACCCGCTCTCTTCGCTCCTGTGCGCTCCGAAGCGTGCTCGGTGTCCACGCTGGTTTTGCTGGCCTGCCTCCCGCAGTCAGAGCAGGTCACTGGAGCAGCAGCCAACAAAAACCTTCGCCACGTCAGATATAGGAGACTCTATGACAAATTTTATGCTTTTAGACTGTTCAAAAGCTCAACTGTTAATAAAAAGGAGCTCTGCACATTCCTTTCTTCTCCACAACCTCACAGCAACGAGCCTGGAATCCCTCTTCCTGGAGTTCTGAACACACAAGCCCAGCCCTGAAGGCAGACTCTGCCTGAACGCCTGCCCGCTTCCCCAGCCCGTATTAATGGATCTAACAAAGATCATCACCTCGCGCTAAGGAGCTCGACTGCGACAAAGAATAAAGATGTCCAGAACATCTTTTGAAACCCAGGACAGAACACGGCCAAGTAGGCATTCAGGAAGAGCTCAGGGCACGTGCCCGAAGCGACACCCCCACAACACGGGTGCGCGAGGACTGGGAGGGAGAGGGACCCCTTCGCACCGGTGGGCATCCGGCCCCCGCGCCAAGGCCCGCGCTGCGGAGGAACAGATCAGGGTGTCAGTGCCGACGCTTCACAACAGCAGCTTTATTAGGGCTTTTGCACAATGCTGACACACAGGAGCCTGAAACACATTGCCTGAACCAGCAAACCTCTGGGAACACCCAGCACTGCAAGGAACACTCCTCAACAGGCCGAATCGAGAACGGCGGCGAGGCAGCCTGAAGAACAGCGATCCCGACGGCCGCTCACCCGGCCGGCCCAAGCCTCGCTCACCCACCGGGCCTGCGCAGCTGGAAAAAATCGCCCTCGGAGCCTGCGGCTTCT